TGCTGAGCTATCTTTACCTCTCTGTGGACCACTCAGAGTGGCTCAGTGGTCCAGAGGACACAGACAGGAAATTGTAACATAGCGAATAGGAAAAAGAGATACACATTCTCTTAGGCTGAAAGGGTCCCAGTTAGTGTAATTCTGACACTAGGCATCTCTTCATCCAGACTTAACTCAAAACCCTCACTGTCGCACCAGCCTGCTCAGCTTCTTGCAGGACCTTCTCAAGGTCAGAAAGCTTTTCCACGAGTTTACTGAAAATTTACCTCCTTGCTACCACTGGGTGGCAGTAGTCCTAGTTTTGTCATCTGCGCAACCCAGAATAAGTGCATGCCTTCCATAGGCAAACACTTGCTATTTGAAGGTATGGGATACTGTGTATGAGATGTCTTCAAAAAGTTCACAGAAACTGTATATTATAAACAACTGTGCATGGATTTCAAAAAATTTTTCACACCAAAATAAATTCACGCTTTAATTCCATTTTCCAGCAGATTTTTGAAGTCCTCTCATCTATTTCTCAGTATTTCTCCTTTTCAAGTCCTATGTCTCTAGTCCTGTCAAGAACCATTCTTATTATGGAATGATTTCCTTTGTCAATTTTGTGACTCTCTTCTAGAGCATTCCACTTTCTCAGTGACCCTCATAAAATGTGGGAGCCAAAATTGAACAGGGGACTCCAGAAGGGAACGGAGGACATTGCAATGTGACAATTATATTCTAGTACCTAGAAACTGTACTTTGATTAATTCAACAAAAAAATTGTGCTCTGTTTCTAGCAGCTAAATAATTCACCTACATTAAACTGTTGGCTCAAATTATGCTTGTGGGTCGGCTCAAACCCCCAGCCCTTTTTTGGCTTGTTTCTCAGTTGATTTCTTTGTTTTTATGTAAGTTGCTGCTGAGCCAGGCTTCCCCTATCTGGCCTCACAAAATAGACTTTTTCTTTATCTTATATAAATTTCACCTTTTAAATTTCAGGCCAGTATTCCAGTGCATCTGAGCTCATTTTGAATCTCAGTTTTGTCCTTCAACATTCTGATATCTCTGCCAACCTTGAGTCATCTTCAATTGTGGTAAGTACATTTTTCGTATCCTCTAAGTTATTAAATAAAAATGGAAAAGTCGTGTGGTCCTTCTCTAGAGACCTTTCCGTTACTTGCCACCAGTGCTTTAAGTAGATTTTCAAAATTAATTGTCAATTCGTTTGACTGTACTATAATCTGGTTAATATTATATTTGAATGTTTTATTTTAGCTTCTTCCAGAGAAAGCTATAGGAAACCATTTCAGATGCACTGTTGAATCCAAGATATGTTGTCCTAATAAAAGATAGGTTGGATGAGGATGATTTAAGATGGGGCTTTTTTGTTTTGCAAAATGGGAATACTGGTATGGTTATTTTTTCCAATTATAAAAGTAATATTTGCTTGTAAAGATCATCGGCATATACAAATATACAAATAAGAAGGTGAAAGTCCCTCTATAAATCTGTGTGCCAACATCTTACTGGATAACTGCAGTAAATAATGTTGTCAGATATAAATACAGATCTAGGATTTAAATGGATTTAAATGGGATCATATTATAGAGACTGTTATGTGACCCGCTTTTTTTGCCTAACAACCTTTTGGAACCATCCTTCTTTGTCAGAATATATAGTTTTACCTCATCTTTCAAAATAGCAATGTAGTGGTTTTTTTCTGTAATTTATCTCATCAGTACCATATTGATGGATGTTTAGGTCATTGACAAATGTTTGCAGTTATGGCTGTGTTGCATGATGAATTTTCTTGGCTGGCTTGGTAAGATGTGCTGGGTGCTGGGTGCCTTTTCTGGATACCCCATCCTTCTCTCCCCTTTTTTGGGGGGGATCTCCCTGTCAATGTCTTAAATACCCAAGGGCTACTTCCATTTAAGAAAGAAGAATTAAAGAGGAGGCTGCCAACTTATTATTCACCATGGTTTGATGTTAAAATCTCTACTCTGTCTAACCTAGGAGTTGAGTTAAGGCTATTTGAGCTTCCAGTGCTCTTTAGAGGACCAAAGAACCCCAAGATCAAACCTTGAGTAAAAAACAGATTTGATGGAAGGCTGAAGTCCCTGGTTGGCATAGGTGAAGTGATTGGAAGTTAAAAGGAGGAGAGAGAACTGCATTGCTATTGATTATTCCTCATACACCCTCAGTTTTGACCAAATGGTGCCACTTGCTGGGCCATCTTCACATCTTTATTCCTCCATTAATCTTCCTCTCTGCTCTCATGTACCTCTCAGAACAAGGTAGGAGCTATCCACTCTGAACTCCTAGGGCCTTTGAAGAATCTTGGCTCAAGAATCAAACCAGTGTTTGAATATCAGAGCTATACTTGTTTAGTTCTGTAATCTTGGATATGTCATTTATCCTTTCTGGGCCAAGGTATTCCAATCTATAGAATGAATTACACTTATATGAGATCTTTCAAAACACCTAATTCTATATCTGGCTGGTAGATAGTAAGCACTTAATAAATATTAACTGCTATTATCATCATCATGATGGGTGATCATATGACCTATTTCATAGTCTTGTGAAGATTAAATGAGAACATATATAACGTGCACAGCACACTGCTTAGACCAAATTGATTGCTTAATAAATGATAGCAATTAATGATTGTATTTATTTCTCCCTTTGGATACTTATCTCCTTCTCTCTTTTTGTTTTTCCTTTTTTAAAATAATTTGTTACAAGGTACATGTGAAAGCACCCCCTGGGAGATTCACCACACTGTAATTTATTTTACTCCATTCTCCTCTTGAGATTTTGGGCATGCACACGCACATATATTGGCGTGTTCTTTTTTTCTTTTGAGAGGTTTTTACCTTAGGGTGCATGTACTCACAGGGGGTGGGGGGTGGCAGAGAGACAGAGACAGTGAGAAGGAAAGTGAGAAATCACCCCATGGTGGGGGGATAGTCACAGGATCCCTCCTTCTCCGTTCTCCTCCTGGGATCTTATGTGTGAGCACCAGATGTGATTTTCAAGCCACAGTGCCCAGGACTCAGACTACAGTAGTCTGTGGGAGCCCAGAGTTGTAACCATTGTGCCATCTCCTGGCCCCCACTGACATGGTTTTTAAGCTGCCAAGTCTGGGACTCAACTGTGCAGCTGGCCATGTGGGATCCAGTTGCCTTAACCACCAAGCCACCCACCTCTGTCCCCTCATTCACTCTTCTGTTTTCCTTATTTCTGTTTATATCTTGATTTCTTGTAATTTATAAGCTTTCAAGAAAGCAGTGTTTTCTCTCTCCTTCACTCTCCCTCCTTCCTTCCCTCCCCTAGAAAGCGTAAAAAAGCCAGTGCTTGGAATTAGTAGCACTCTAAAATTTAGGTGAATGAATGCTACCATTATTTCTTCTAAGTGCCTTTCTTTTTGAAGTTTGTCTTTATTTCTTCCATGATAGTTGGTGAGTACACCCAATAGGGTCTTCATGCTATGATCTGTCCCTGACCTCAGCCATCCAGGATAATGAGCATGTGGATGCACACCTAGTGTAGACAGGGAAATCCCAAGGCATTACCTGGGACTTTCCCACATTGGTCCAGTTGTGTAATTTATGTGCTACCACCTGGCCCTCTAAGCTCCTTTTTTTTATTGAATTGTTTTCTACTTAGAAAGCACCTTTCTCAGGCCAACCCCATAATATAGTGATGAAGGAAGTTGGATTCCACATGGCCAACTGTGGCTTAAATCACAGCCCTGGCTGCTTGAAAAATACAATGGGCACATGTGTGTGGATGCCTGAAATCCTGCCAGGATAGAGAAACGAAGGAGGAGTAATTGCAGCATGACCGTTTCCCATTATTGGTGGATGAGGTGTTCTCCCTCTCCTCTTTTCTCTGTCTCTTTTCTCTGTCTGTCTCTGATTAGTGCACATGTGCCGGGGTCCAGCCTCGGCGTGGGTGGGTTATTTTGACGAAGGCGGCGAAGGTGAACAGAAGACAGAGGCCTCGATGCCTTTTATGCACGTCTTATGCTGGACACTCCTTAGAGATTGTTCTCTGAGGAGTGACAACTGCTAGGAATCATCGTGCCTTTTTATTGAGAATGTGTTACATACAAGTAAATGGGAGAGGGGCTACGTGTTTCAATTATCAGCTCATAAAGTCTTTTAACAATAAAACATAGATTTTATTTAGGGGTGGATTAAAGGTGGGTCTAGTGCAGTTTCTATTTAGGGGTGGATTAAGGGTGGGTCTAGTGCAGTTTTTTAATTGTAGGTGGGTCTCCATGGAATGCAGTTTTGGGAAAGCCGTTTCGGTAAGCAGAGATGATTATCAGCAGATGCGGTGCAGCAGCCATCTTGTGATTACTGGGAATGGTGCTGAGAAAAGAAAATTTTAAGAATAGATATTAGTTTTTATGGATTTTAATAAAGAATGATATTTATATACAGTTTTGTACGGGTTTAAAACTTAATTTGAGGAGTCTTAATGCATTTATTTATTTTACTTGGAGAGGGCAGAGGTGTCTTGGGCCAGTTTTGGCCTAATCCTATTGTACATAAAGAAAGGAAGAATTTAAGGGCCTTCTAAAGGTCAAGATT